ACAAGAGCTTCACACCATGCTCCTCGCCTGTCCAGCCAGACACCACAGGATGCCCTGCATAGAAAGAAACCACCGAAGCAGAGCAATGTCTCTTGTCCCAGAGCAGATCCGACCAAGGGCTCAGAGACCAGACCAAGGAGCTGGGTGTCCCTTGCCACCCGGAGCTGACCAGGCTCACCCAGTCTTCATCTGAATCAAAGTTGGGCCAAAAGACTGAAGGTCTACAAATTGGGTCTTTAGGCCATAATCATTTTTTGTTTCTCTTTGTCCCTGATTCGGAGACACCCACCACCCCCGCCGAACCTCGGCATTCTCCCCAGTGGACTATGGCATTCTCCCCAGTGGACTATCCAGGGGAATGTCTAAGGGAGTTTCCCTAGGCCTAGAATTCTTGTTTGCCATCCTCAGGAAGTCCCTGTGACTATTCTATGTGCTCAAACCTGCCTCTATTGGAGATTTCTTGCACACCCCAGATCCGCTTCGTCCATCTCTGGCCGTTTCCCTCGCAGGAGAACGGAACCACAGATTAGGACTCTGCTCTCACTTTGTGTCCAGGACATGGCTCAGCCACACACCCAACCTCCAAGGGCACCCAACAGCCAACGCAGGGTGGACTATACTCCACGTTTCCCTACCTTGGCCCAGGCATGCGGTTGCCTGCTTGCCGCAGGTGCCCGTCTTTTGCCCCCTGTGTCGGATTTGCCGTCTTCTGAAAAACAGTCTTGGGCTTGTCTCTGGCCTCTGAGAAGAGACGGGGTCTCTGGCAGATTAGGCCCTTCAAAAGCAGGCGAGGTTTCCCCCTCAAAAGCAGGTGAGGGGCCCCGCTCTGCACGAGCACAGAAATCCTAGATGTGTCCCCAAATTGTGAGAAATGCTCACCTGTCCAAATTCAAATAACAGATTCGGAGATGTGAAATATGGCAAAAATGAGACTTTTAATATGGCCTTGCAAGATCGGTGTCCAGTTGAGCAGGCACACGCAGCGGCCACCACAGGCTGTTACCCCCGGGGTGCGAGAGGCCCTCCTCCGGCTCCCCATTGGCTAAGTACTGTGGGGCTAATAGCTTTCCTCCTATGTCGCCTGGGTCTTATTGTCTCCTATTGGGTCATTTGAAACAATGGGCGGAGGCCTTTTCTAGTTGTCTCCACCTCCCTCTGTGTAGGCGCATCTTCCCGAAAATGTGCTGCTGGTCATGTAGTTCTTTGTTCTTATACCCGCTCCCCTCCTCCCTACATTCTGTTTGTCCTGGGAAAATTCAGTAACCGTTTCCATTAAAGGTTGACTTTGCTGAAGATGGACCACAGGCCGATCTCCTACACTCCACATCATCTAAGGGGATGTTTTTGGGTTCAGGGGGTTAAGACTCCAATGTCTTTGGGCCGTTAATGAGCCCGTCACGCAGCTTAGGGTCTAAGCCAGTGGTTCTCAACCTGTGGGTTGTGACCCCTTTGGGGGTTGAACGACCCTTTCACAGGGGTCGTCTAAGACCATCGGAAAACACATATATAATTACATATTGTTTTTGTGATTAATCACTATGCTTTAATTATGTTCAATTTGTAACAATGAAATTGGGGGTCACCACACATGAGGAACTGTATTAAAGGGTCGCGGCATTAAGAAGGTTGAGAACCACTGGTCTAAGTGTTGCTGGAAAGGGACTGGGCCGGAGCAGCCTGCCTCGGGCCGGCCTGTAGTGTGTGGGTTTTTGATTTTGTGCAGGAAAGAGTCACTTTTATTAAAGCTGGGACAGTGAGACAAGGAAGGGCCTAGTTTAAAAGGAGCAGCAGGAGAGCCGAGGCGGCTGCTTTGGCTGTAGAACCATTATGGGAAAGAAGTGAGCCAGGAGGGGCTGCTGTGAGCTTACTGGAGAGTCAGAGAAAAGGGGGCCTTGGGGACAGGTTCAGGGGTCAGCCCGGGACAGGCTGCCGCTGCCCGTTGCTTCCCCAGTTTCAAGTCTCATGGGGCCCCTTAGAGTTTAGGGGGAGCGAGAGGGGAGGGAGAGGCGCGGGCTGCTCCGTTGGGTCTTTGTCTTGAGCGTTTTAAGGCTGTGGGTCTAGGGGAGGTCTCAGGGGAGGATCTCAATTCCTGGTGTGTCTTTGCAGGGTCGGGGTCTCCCCTGATTGGACAGCACCAGGGCAGGGGGGGTCGTCAGTCATCCCGGCTGGTCCTGGCATTGCCCTCCTGGGTTTGCTGCTTTTCTGGGCCTGGAGCTGAAACACAACCGAGGCCTCGATGTTATCCCCGGGGAGGAAAGGTCAGGGGTCCAAACCGCGTGACCAGCGATACGCCGGGGAGGAAGGCCACCCGGGGGTGAGGTTCCACGCCAGCTTTGCCCCCCAGGCACCCAGAGCTTTCTGCCTGGTGACCTTCTGTATCTGCTGTGCATTGCTGGCCAGTTTGTTCAGCTCTCTGCCTCAGTTTCCCCAGCCCACTTGCCAAGGAACTTGCCTAGCTTCTCAGTGTCCTGCCTCCTGAGGACGGAGCCAGTCTCGGCAGCTGGTTCCGCTGTGCCCAGCGCTGACTCTCCTGTGGCAGCTTTGGAAGGTCTCCCATGGGGACGCCGCTGCAGGTCCACACGGAGGCTTGATATGCTCCCAGCTGCCAGCCCTGCTGCCTCTCATTCTCGGCGCCGGCATCCAGCCTCAGTTTTGGTGCCTGAACCCCTCAAGGGTCCTATTTGCAGGGTCCTGCTTTGTCTCAGAATTGGGCTGATTGCCCTCCAACAAAGATTTGCTGCTCACACCCCCCTCCCCCCACGGCTCTGTTTTTGTTAATCCGCACCTGAGGATATTTTTTCCATTGATTTTTATTTTATTATTTTAAATATATTTTTATTGATTTCAGAGAGGAAGGGAGAGGCAGAGAGAAATAGGAACATCAATGATGAGAGAGAATCATTGATCAGCTGCCTCCTGCATACCCCACACTGGAGATCGAGTCTACAACCAGGCCATGTGCCCTGACCAGGAATCGAACTGTGACCTCCTGGTTCATAGGTCGACTCTCAACCACTGAGCCACACCAGCTGGGCTCCATTGATTTTTAGAGAAGGGAGAGAGGGAGGGGACGGAGAGAGAGAAACATCGATTGATTGCCTCCCACACGTATCCTGACTGGGGTCAGGGATTGAACATGCAGCCCAGGTATGTGCCCTTCATGGGTATTTGAACCCAAGATCCTTCGTGCCTGGGCTGACGCTCTAACCACTGAGCCACATGGGTCAGGACCCCCACACAGCTCTCTTGACCCGCTTGGCAAAAAGCAGCCCAGGCTGAGGCTATGTGGCACAGGGGCTAGGCAGAGGCCTGGGCTCAGATCGGCCTGGATTTGAACTCCAGTCCTGCCACTCACCAGTCATAGGCCTTTGAGAGAGCTACTCACCCATTCATGCATGGCTTGGCCCAGAATAAGCACTTTGACAAACAGAATAAACCGGCCACCTGGTCCACAAGCCCCGGAGGACAGGTGCTCACCCTCGGAAAGGGAGCCTGCCCCACTTTTGCCTCCAGGCACCTCAGATTTGGAGGAGAGTGGATCCCAACCCCTCCCCCAACTGTACCATTCTGAGGCTTTGAAACCTCAGCTGACACTGAGCCGGAAAGAGCCCCATTATCACATCCTGTCACTCTGGGGTCTGGGGCGGGCGGAAGACAGGGAGGGGCTGGGAGGAGAGGCGCTCAGCGGCTCCAGGATGGGCCGAGCCAAGGCCTGGCACTCCCCTCCTGGGCGCTCCACCTGCCTGGCCAGCTTAGTGTCCCAGTTATGGCCACGGAACTCCCTTCAAGCTGCCTCCTTGTCATTTTGACAAGTTCCCATTGTCCCCTGAGCACTTCCTAACTTCCAGGCTCATCCAGGACCCTCCTGCCCCAGCCCTGGAACCAGCCATCTCGCCAAAGAGATGGAGGGTGGTCTTCTTAGTGGAGGACGGTGTTTAGAAACCAGGATGGAGCCGGTGCGGGCGCACTTCTTACTGTGGAGGTGCCATTGCTTCTAGACCAGGGGTGGGCAAACTTTTTGACTCGAGGGCCACAATGGGTTCTTAAACTAGACCGGAGGGCCGGAACAAAAGCATGGATGGAGTGTTCGTGTGAACTAATATAAATTCAAAGTAAACATCATTACATAAAAGGGTACGGTCTTTTTTTTTTTTTTTAGTTTTATTCATTTCAAACGGGCCGAATCCGGCCCGTGGGCCGTAGTTTGCCCACGGCTGTTCTAGACCCTCTCTGCAGACAAAGCCAGAGGGGCGGAGGGTGAGGGGGAGAATATATATACACACACACTCACATATATACAGGTGTCCACTCAATTAATATAAATATAGTCATTTTATAGATAAACTCATTCTGTCTATTATACAGGGTATCCTCCAAAAATGTATACACACTTTAGCAGCTGGTAGCTCAATTTTGAAAATGCAATGTATTTTAGAAAACACTGCCTTTATCATTATTCAAAGTGCCTGGCCGGTGTGCTCGGTGGTTGAGCATCGACCTGGAGGTCACAGTTCAATTCCGGGTCAGGGCAGGGCAGTGCCTGCGGTTGCGGGCTTGACCCATCATTGATGTGTCTGTCTTTCCCTCTCCCTTCCTCTCTTTGAAATCAATAAAAATATATATATATATTTAAAAATAGAGGGAAGGTGAGTAACTGAGTGTGGAGAGGTGTGAGGTGGCTGTGGGGTGCGGTGGGGTCTGGAAGGGTCTCGAAAGCCAGGAAGCGAGCCTGGGTGGACGCAGTGGGCACGGGAGAATCATGCAGGCCCTGGCGTTTAGGAAACGCGGCAGACAGGTTGGCGAAGTCGGGGAGTGGTTGGCACCACAAGACACTTGCCTGAGCTGGCGGGTGGCGTGCAGCATTCTCCGCTGGAGACCTCAGTTTTATACTCTGTGGCCTGGGTACAAGGAGAGACCTGCCCCCAGGGCCGCCCAGAGACTCCCCCAGGGCCGTGCCTGTGCCTGGGGTCCCACCCCTCCTGGGTGACACAGCTCTGCTTCCTGTTTCTCCCTGTCAGGGGAGTTTCAGCCTCAGCTTCAAAAGAACAAACCCGCCCTCAAAACAAAGGAAGACAGTCCTGACTGCGAGGAAGCAGGAAGCCGCCGCCGCTCGCTCGCTCGCAGCCCAGCTGCTGGGACCGGGGCAGCAGGATGGAGTCCGTGGCCCTGTACAGTTTCCAGGCCACAGAGAGCGATGAACTGGCCTTCAACAAAGGGGACACGCTCAAGGTAGGGTGGTCAGAACGGGCCGAATGGGCCCCACATGGGACAGGGAGGCTAAGAACCAGGGTCCCAGGACAGTACCCCCCCCCCCAAAAAAAAAGAGTCCATCCAGTCTTTGGAGGCCGGGCCCAGCTTCTCCAGTTGCCGGGACAAGGCATCTAGGAAGTGGGAGGTTGTGATGACCCCTCCTGTGGGGCCACGGTGAGGTCCAAGGAGACATTCGCATGGTGTCTGCAGGGGTTTCCCAGGGAAGAATTTGAGAAGACAGTGCCTAAAGGAGAGGCGGGTG